TAAGTCTACTGTTGCGCAATATCTGCAAYTTGCCAACACCTGCCAATGGATGGAGTAACGAGCCCGCAGCGACAAGTATTAGTCAAGAGGATGATATTGTAAGGGTGAAATTGTACCGYAACAAACTGAGCCACATCTCTGAACGAGCGCTATCAGACGCTGATTTTAACAAGTACTGGAACGACATTGAAACTGTTTTGCTAAGACTTGGAGCAGACATGGCAGCTATTGATAGCCTGAGAACGCAATCAATGGACCCTGAAGATGAAGAATACTACAACGAATGCTTGAAAGAATGGGCCAAGAATGAGGAAAGACTAATGCAGGCAATCCATGGATTAGAGGAAAAAATGGAAAACCTTCTAAAGACATCACACAACAGGCCTGTAAGACCAACATCTGAAGGTAAATTTTAATTTAAAAAAATAACATTAGATGATTATAAAATTATCAGTAAGAATAATGTCGTCCGCACACTCTTTCGTATGCTTTCATGAACTTCAAGAAAATATACAACTATTTCAAAAAAAAAAATGTTGAAGGGAGATTGCACTACCGAAAGGGACTATGGCTACACTGTTTTAAAAAACAAAATTCCACTTATGGATTCAACTTGCATAGAAATGGAGCCTAAATGGTGCCAAAGTTCATCACAGACTTTCTTACAGTATAAATCAGGGTTTTTTTCACGATAATCTTTATTAGACAAATATTGGTACATACGTTGCAACACTAGACAACCGCAACAACACAGTTGACAGTGAAAGAAATAAGGAGAAGAACGAAAACAATGCACGGGGACTGGATGTTATGTTAATTTTTTACAAGTCAAGATAGACCCGAAATAATTTCACTCCATTTCTTTTCGTACTTTAATAAATTATCATTTGATTTGGCTATTTTGTATTCAATGTTTTATTGTAGTTGGGAAATTTTTAAGATGTCAAGTGTAGGAATTCTTTTCATGTTTCGGAACTTATAAATAGAGTAATTCTATAGCATATAATTGTATATAGTTCAACAAGATATCACTCTGAAAATAATGTTTTCCTCATTGCACTCTTGTAGAATTACACCAGTATTAGAAAAATATGTTTTAATTTTCGTGTAAAAATTCTTAGATTCATTACATGTCACAAATAAGTGTCTAGTCGTTTCTTCATGTATAGTACAGGACCGGGTTGTTCAAAGATCGATTAGCGCTAATGGTGTGTTAACTCTTAGAAAACCTATGGAGTTAACCCTGGATTAACGCTAATCGGGCTTCGGACAACCCGGCCCAGAAAGAACAAGAGTAATTATCTAATAGCTTGAAATGAAATAAATCACGATTTAATTATATATAGGATGTTGTTCCGTTCAGGATTTTATATTGGAAGAAACGTGAATAAGCATCGAGCGACTATTATATATTCTAGTATAAATAAATCTTCCAATTTAACGTTTTTTTAGGTCAGTGAAGTATTCTTGTGATGTTGATGCTTTAAAGATTTTTTTATAAAATATAGAGACAATTGATTTGTTGATATTTTTGTAATGATATAGCTTTTCCATTGACATGTTTCAATACGAACAAAACTGTCCATTTGACTTTTTATTTTTGTTGTCCAGGCATTGCCGGGGTGGAATAGCATGGGTTAGCCCAGCCCGTTTTAAGAAGTTTCTTCTTCAAGACCTTTTTCTTTAACGCATTCCCATTTAAAAACGGCATTATCGTTACAAAGATAAAAGTGATGTTATTAAAATACCTAAATCAGAGAAATCCTTATAGAAAATAGACTTGCCTCCAATTCTTACACCGGTATTATTATTAATCCATATATGTTGATTTAATATCGTGATGGGATAACCTTCAATGTTTGAGTCGTAGAATATCAGAAATTTACGACCAAACTATAAGAATATCTCTATAAAAAAAGAAGAATATTTTGAGGAATACTTTATTGAAATTTTGCTTTATAGAGTGCACGTCACATAAGCATGAAACAATTCTTAATATGTATTGCTAAATAAGATTTAGTTATCAACTAACTAAGAATTCAACAAAGCATAAACACAATGCCAATTATTTNTGTCGCGCCGACTGACCAACCGTCGCGATCGGAAAACATTCCAAAATTTTCTATGATCAGACCATAATCTTACCGAATTTACTTTGTCGAAGGTAGATCAATCACTTGGGATCTTGTACGTTCCTGTTTTGACTTTCCTTAAGGCGATTTTCTCGAGGAAATTCGATCGAAAGCCATTTGGATAACGAGTCATGCGCAATGGAAACCGGACGACAGAAATCCGAAGTAAAAATTCCGTTACTCCAGAGTAACGGAGAGTTTGTCGACGGCGCTGGCCAAGAGATTGGGGAATGTTTTGTTAATATTAATGCTGATGATGTTGTTAATATAGGAAAAGATTCGAAAGTTTTCGTCTATTATTTTTATAAAAATAACGTCACGCCCTTTGAATCAATTGTCTTCAATTCTTAGTCTCTTTGCAATGCCGATATCGCAGTTCCCTGCTGGCAGAGTCTCTCTTGTTGTAGTTCGCAGTGAAGAACATTTTTGACTGCAGGGAATTGTTCTGGAATTGAGTTAAAGAGGGTAAAGGAATACTTGGCCAGAAACGCTCTCGTATGCATTTGATATTTTACAAAAACGACAGATCAAGATTCCCTTATGGTGGCCATACCGCTGTGCAGTCACTGGTGCATATTATTGGATACGCTTCAGAACAACTGTAAACAACCTTAGTTCTTCTGAATATCGCAAGAAGATTGCATACATGACTCTGAATAACTTGAAAAATGTTTGTTTTCTGTTAAGTTAGTTTGATTGAAGTTGTAATCCAATGAAAAGAGTCTTTATCGGAAGTTCTGGTCGATTACACTGCACACAAACAACTCCAAATTTGGTTTGGTTTTGAGATGTTACAAAACATGGAAGTCGAAGGTCACAGTTTCTATTTTTATGACAACCTAGCGACTGACTGACAGCTGGCTTATAGCTATGTTTCTATTGGTGGGTTTGCTTTGCAGGAGCGTTCGTCACAGCGTCTAATACCACGTCAAACCCATACAGAAGTCAGTCAAGAACAGATTTTGCGGCACTCCTTAATACTTCGATAGCTCACCGCTTTAGATCAAGACTCCAAACCTTCTATTGAAAGGTAAGGCACACAGCTGACTTTTATTTTACATTATGAAGACATTATTTCAATGTTATCATAAAAAGGCATTCTTTTTTTYCCTTTGGGTTTGCTTTCAACAAATGACCGAAATGTTAAAAAAGTTTTCTAACTATCGCGTTTATGGCAATAACTATGCACTAACAGGAGACTGTGGAAGTCAAAGATATATAGTGATACCATGCCAATTTGAAAAAAAAAACAGCGAAATCTTTAGTTGTTTCATTACCTTTTACAACGCTATCGAATAAAGAGTATCTTAATTTTCATTCGTGAATTTTTCATTTCAATCGAATTTCAAGCCTTGTTATAAAACTCTGAGGAGAAAACAGTTTTTTGCGTTAATATTAATCTTTATTATTGTACTTGTTAGGCAGAAAATCAAGATGGCTACTACTGGATGGTCAACAACTACAAAAGAAAACACCAACTTTTCTCGTTTGTGTAAATTACTCATCGATGGAGGAACTCATGTCCTTAGAAAGATCTTTGATGGCAAACATCCACCTCACGATCTAAAGAAACATTTGATGGATCGCAGAAATCATCGTATTTTGAAGAATTTGAAGACTACAAACATACTAAGAGGAGATCAATGGAGCAAACTTTATCCAAGTGTAGATGCTCCAACATCTGGAAGTTTTGATATTACTCTCTTAAGTCTGCTGTTGCGCAATATCTGCAACTTGCCAACTCCTGCCAATGGATGGAGTAACGAGCCCGCAGCGACAAGTATTAGTCAAGAAGATGATATTGTAAGGGTGAAATTGTACCGCAACAAACTGAGCCACATCTCTGAACCAGCTCTATCAGACGCTGATTTCAATAAGTACTGGAACGACATTGAAACTGTTTTGCTAAGACTTGGAGCAGACATGGCAGCCATTGATAGTCTGAGAACGCAATCAATGGACCCTGAAGATGAAGAATACTACAACGAGTGCTTGAAAGAATGGGCCAAGAACGAGGAAAGACTATTGCAGGCAATCCATGGACTAGAGGAAAAAATGGAAAACCTGCTAAAGACATCACACAACAGGCCTGTAAGACCAACATCTGAAGGTAAATTTTAATTTAAAAAAATAACATTAGATGATTATAAAATTATCAGTAAGAATAATGTCGTCCGCACACTCTTTCGTATGCTTTTATGAACTTCAAGAAAATATAGAACTATTTCAAAAAAAAAACGTTGTCAGGGAGAACGGAGAAAGGCGATTGTTGAAGGGAGATTACACTACCGAAAGGGGCTATGGCTACACTGTTTTAAAAAACAAAATTCCACTTAGAATAGAAATGGAGACTAAATAGTGCCAAAGTTCATCACAGACTAGTAAATCAGGGTTTTTTTCACGATAATCTTTATTAGACAAATATTGGTACATACGTTGCAACACTAGACAACCGCAACAACACAGTTGACAGTGAAAGAAATCAAGGAGAAGAACGAAAAGCAATGCACGGGGACAGGATGTTATGTTAATTTTTTACAAGATAGACCCGGAATAATTTTACTCCATTTCTTTTCGTACTTCAATAAATTATCATTTGATTTGGCTATTTTGTATTTAATGTTTTATTGTAGTTGGGAAAATTTTTAAGATGTCAAGTGTAGGAATTCTTTTCATGTTTCGGAACTTATAAATAGAGTAATTCTATAGCATATAATTATATATATAGTTCAACAAGATATCACTCTGAAAATAATGTTTTCCTCATTGCAC